TAAAATTTTATTAAAAAATTTTAAAATTTAAAAAAGTTTGCAGGCAAATTTGGCTGCAAAACAATTTAAGGGATAAAGATAATTAATTAAATTAATTACTACTAGCTATAATCAAACCATTGACCTTGTTTGTGAAGGGTTAGGTGCCTAGACCACTAGGCTATGAGACTATAACTTCAAAGTTACAAATATTTTATTTTAGCTAATTAATAATAATTATATATTAATAAACAATTGCTATTTGTACACCAGGTGTATATATATCACATATATTGATATCTTAAAATCCTGATTATATAATAGCTTTTGGTGTTCCAACAAAAAATATTTTTTGCAAAATTTAGTATAAACTAAAACCTTATCTAACCCTAAAGCTACCCTTACTCTAACCTTAAGCTATACTAATTTTTTGTTTACAATTTATATATTAAGTAAATTTGTAAATCAATAAATTAGTATGTGGTGTATATACACCATGTGTAATTTAAATAATTTTTATATTAATAATATAAAACTAAAAATTTAACCATTTGTTTAAAAAAATTAAATTCTAAACCTTATAGTATCTGCAACCTGCTAACCAATACACTATACTGTACTACAGTATTGTATTATCACAATTTCTTAATTTTATTAATTTAAAAAAATATGTAAATAGCCAGATACAAAACCCAAGCCTGTTACATTTTACCAACTTTAAAACCCTTTATAGACCTCGGATATAGTATATGGCTGAGAGCTTCAATCATATACTGTTCACCCAGTCAAAACCATAACTAATAAAAAATTGGTCCACCATGTTCGTTCCATAATCTAAATCTGATAACCTGCCATTTTGTATTCAAAAAAATATATCTACTGTATTAGTTGCTATATAATCTGGTAAATCCGATATTTTTAATCTAGCCAATTAAATTAATTCTATATAGCAAGACTGGATATTATTTAGCCAATCATATTGAACCACAACTATATGACTAGTAGGTTCATTAAGACGTACGTATTAGTTTTTTAAATCCGATAACTTCTCAAAACTGATTCAAAATCCGTCCACGCATACCGGTAGACTGTAGTGTAAAAATTTGAAGTGCATATACACTCTGCGTTTATATATAACAAGCAGTCTAAATTTATAAAAAGAACCACCTTTAATTAAAAAGATTCTGCAATTGCATTCGGGTCTACTATCGAAGGGGGTATTTTATCCGGCCATTTACGGTAATCAAAATTTGATAAATTTGATTAAATATATACAAGTAACTCTCGATACGTATAAGAAACCTTCGATGCAAGAAACTCTCGATATAAGAAAGATTCTGCAAGTCCCAATTAAAAATTCTATAATAAAAAGCTCTCGATATAAGAAAATATGAATATAAGAAAGGTTTTGACTGGACCCGGCAACTTTCCTATATACTGTATATAATACTGTGTGTACAGTATCTACAAAAATTAGTAATCCTGTATGCTGTAATTAAATTTGGTTAGATGATTACTAAAATATCTTTGCCCAAAATTATAAAAAAAAAAAATCCTCTGTGGGATACCGCCTTTTTATTTAATAGACAGTTTGAACAATATCTCTTTAAATTTGTTACTTAGTTGACTAGCGAATTTGACCAACTCTGAATAGTTAGTGCGTATAGAATATAAATTACCCCGGGTACTTTAAGAAGCGTTTTTACGGTGTAACATCTACACATCGATATTCTAAAAATAGGCACTAACGTACGTATAGTCTCTCTAGAAGTGTTTATCAATCATACAAAAACTCAACTTTTACTTGAAAATTCTATACGATGTCGCTAGACAAAACCAATTCCACTAAATCATCAAAAGATGCTGTTCCTAGTAGTGGTTTCTCAATGCAGATTCAGTCTAATAAAACCAAAAATAAAAAATTAGAAAAAAGAAATCTCTCTCTTTTTACTTCAGAACCATATAAAAAGCGACGCATCACCGACAATGACATAAATGAGCCGACGATTGAACTTGTAACAGGCCTTGAAGACAATCAGATCCAAAGGTTAGTTCTTTATATTCACTAATTTACTATTTCAATTAATGGCTTTTAAGCTTGATAAATTGCCAGCAAAATCTGATCATCTTAATATTTCAATAAATAAACGTCTTAGATTAACAAGTGTTAAAACATCTGATAACTCCAAACTGTCGCTTAAGCAGCAGGCTTTAGCAGAAATTTTAAAGGGTTAGTTCTTCATTCACCACTTGACTAGGTTCATTATACATTTTTTTTAAAAAATTTAATTGACATATTTAATTTAGGTCCAAAAACTGACAGTGATACTGAGGAGATAGAACAATCACTCGTATTGCAAATAGCGAAAAACAAAAATCTCGAATCTAGAAAAGAAAAAGTGTCAGATTTGGAAGCATTTCGGCGTGAAGTAGAAAGTTTGCCAGATGAAGTAAATAATATTTCGATTTCTATGAATAATTTATAATATATAGTAATACGTTTCTTACAATGCTTAAAACATTTTCAGGCCGATATTGATTATGATAGTGTTCCAATAGAAGATTTCGGAGCAGCAATGCTTAGAGGAATGGGATGGAGACCAGGGATGACAATTGGAAAAAATCAGAAAATAAAGTATGTATAATTTCTCATAGTCTTTATAATACTTTTAATATATTTCATGACTAACCAAAATACTTTGAATAGATCCATTGAGTTGCGTGAGCCAAAAGCGCGTCCTACTCACCTTGGATTGGGTGCATCACCGCTTCCGACCAAGGATGCTCATGGCTTACGTTAAGAGGATTGGTGGCATGGTTCTTTTTTCAATTTTTAATAAAATAATGTTACACGACTATTATTCAAAATTTACAAATTGATAAAATTCGAACTTTATACTTAATTACTTGAAGCATTATAATCTACCCACTACACTACATCACTATACTTTAAAATACTTTATTATAGATTTTTGTTTAAAAAAAAAAAATTTAGAAAATTTATAAATAATTTAAAAAAAAATTTATAGATAATTCAAAAATACCGTAATTTAAAATTTTGAAAAAATGGTTAATTTTTTTTTTTAAAAAAAAGTAAATAGTTTTATAAGTGCACTCCCTGAATGTGTACTAAATTGGTGGTGCATTAATAAGCCGAAATAATTTGTGCAATTAAAGAATTCTAATAAATCCAAGTACAATTACAATAATAAATTACGAATTTTACAAAGAGATTTAAATTATTTCGTGTTCTTTTTATTTTCAAAAAGCTATTTATAAGCTTTGTTGATGTTGAAGAATGGAATCTTCCTGAATTTTAAGTTTAAATGAAATTCCGAAGCTATTTAGTAGATATATATACTGTATAATTAAAACCATAATTTTAGCGAATGCATCCATCATCCATTTATCCGATAAGCTTTATCCGGATATCCGTTTTTTTAATTCGGATATCCGAACGGATTAACCGAATCATCCGATCAGAATCACATGATTTTGGTACCATTCGATTCGCCTTGATTAGAGTGTCCAGGATTATGCGCCGGTAATTGCAAAATTATGCGTGCGGCAAATTGTAAATTATGCGAATTATGCGGACCCAGGATTAGAACCAAATTTCAAGACAAGCTGTAATGCAAGACAAATGTTTAGGCGAGACCAACTTGATTCTGTGTTTTAAATTACCTTCTCTCCCTACTGGAGAGGGGGGATTGACCATATCATATATAAAAACTTTATTTTTCGAAAGATTTATATTTCAGAATTTTATTAGAAGGAAGGTGGGGAGATAATGTAAAACACAGAATCAAATTGGTCTTGTCTTATAACCAAAAATTTAGTCTATGAAACTGATTTAAGTGCTATAAAATTTATTATATAAATAATATTTTTGAACAATAGCCTAATTGCAAGCTTCTTCCCTAATCTAAAAGCACGAAATTTTTACTAGAAATTTTTGTTTTTTAATTTTGCCCATATCAAAAATTACATAACTACAATACGTAGTTTGTTGGCATATAATAGTTATACCAATGCTATAAAAGTTCCAGTATTGTTACTACATTCGGATCTATTAATTTTAAAGTATAAATACTATGATAGTTTAGCCAGCATTATTCATATGATCCTAGCCAGTGTTAGAGTATATATAGGCCGACTTGATAACACATTCTGTGTAATTTAATCTGTGTAACAGCAATTAGCCAATAGAAATTTTTTTATATATGAGAATTATGCGAAATCGCATATTTTATGTGGCATAAGGTAAATTATGCGGATATTATGCCAGATCATAATCCTGGACTAGGGATACAGAATATCTGCAATAGCATAATATGCGCATAAACTTGATATTTATCGCATAGCATATGCGATAGCATATTTTATATAAAGAGCAGAATT